ACTTTGGAAGGATTGCCAGGCTGTTGAGGTTGGAGGTGGCACTGATCTGTGAAGACGTGTGAATTTTTATTGTTGTTATTCCCCTCAGTGATGGTCAGTAGCCTACTTGTAGGCCTAGAGAAAGCAGACATTTGAGTTGATCCAGGCCCAGCCATGTGAGGGTGGCAAGGGAATTGAGGGTGTTACTAGTAGTGATTGAAATGAATGGGCTGTGGAGTCTACACTAGAGAGAGGAAAGTGAAGGTGGAGAAGGACTAATTGATAGAGAGAAGGTAGGAAAGATCAAAGGAGTGACTGTCTGAAGAAGTTGGAGACAGGGTAAGAGGACCAACTGAGTGAGAACAGGAATGATAGGCAGTTTTGATCAAGGATTGTTGTTGTTAGGTGCTGTTGAGTCGATTTTCGACTCATAGCGATCCCATGTGACAGAGTAGAACTGCTCCATAGCTTTTTTTTGGCTGTAATCTTCGTGGGAGCAGATCACCAGGTCTTTCTCCCACAAAGCTGCTGGCTGGATTCAAACTGCTAACCTTTTGGTTAGCAGCTGAGCACCTAACAGTTATGCCACCAGGGCTCCTTGATCAAGGACTAGGGTGCTTAAATTTAAGATTTTAAAAGTGGAGCAGGTTTACATAAAAAAAAAAAAAAACAATCCCAGGAAGGATTGTAGTGCAGAGTGTGGCCATGAAAATGGGTGACTGAAGTGGCGATAAGCTCAGTGCCAAAGTCTTCAGTGAGGGGTGGGTGCAGGCAGAGACGTAGAGGTATAGCCAGGTGATAGGAGCCTCAGAAGAGCAGGGGCTGGAGGAGTTAGGTCTGGAAGAGACATTTAGGAGGAAGACACCAACCCCATCTCTTATTCTGAAGTATGTGGAGAGTGGAAGAATGAGCAAAAACCTCCACATGGGAATTCTGCAAGGAAAGCAGTTTCTTAGAGGAAAGGTAGGCGTCAGAGTTGGGATGAGAGTTTACTGAATGATGTAGAAAGTATGTCTCTTGTGGCAACGGGTTTTGATGACAGCTCTGAGCCAAAGCAGTGTGACCCTGGGGTAGCATCTTGGCTTCAGTTAAACCAGGTTTGACTCTAATTTGGAGTCTTCTCCGCACTGTGCTATTTGTATCTTTCTGTCCTGCCCTGGAAACAAAATTAGTTCCTCATTTGAAATAAAAGGGTTGCCTAGTTTGACATCCACCCATAGACTAGAGGGGGAGGAGCATAAAGCAAAGTTCTCATTAATCATGGTGGTACTATTTTAAGATGTTTGAGTTCAGTCAGTGTATTAGTGGGGGTGGGGTAGTGAATTAAGGTCACATACACCAAGTGAGATTAAGGTCACGTACACCAAGCGAGATTTCTGCAATTCCTGATCCAAAACCTGCAGGGAACATAGGATCAAGGAAAGAACTGAATGATTTCCCACCCATGCACTACCATCTTAGGAGGAGGAAAAACTTCATGCAATTGAGGGAAATGGGAAGAATTAAGGGTCCTTGGTTGTTAAAAAGCTGTGGGTAAAGGCTTGATACTCATAGTATGAGTGTGCTCAAGCCGTCTTCCTCAATTCTGTGGATTTCCTACCAGTATCACCTTTCTGGGAATCCTAACCCAAACACCTAGAGGCCAAAACACCCAGATGCTGAGCAAGGAAGGATGGGAAAAAAGAGTAAGTTTCCTTGTCTGGGCCAATGAGGCAGTCTCAGCTCAATTTGAAGAACACTGGAAAGGGCTTTGAAAGGGCGGATACAGAATTTGAGAGCTTATTTAATCAGGAATCTCACATTGACTCTCTTTGACCAGATTCCTGGGGCCAAACTGGGTTTAGAGTTATGAGAGGGCAGTCTGGTTTGGGCAAGTGTCCCAGTAGGAGAATGAGAGACAAGTGTACATTTATCTGTCAGGCAGCAGAGGTGTGTTTGTACCCTGACATGTTAAGGCAGTAATGTAGACTAGATCACCTTCCCTTGAACCCGTTTTTTTGTGTCTTTGAGGGTCTGTAAAAACTATCTAGCCTGTAGCTCTGCTGCCTTAGGTCCAAACGCTGAGAGGACAAGGAGCTGAGAATAACCCTATTCTAAAGCCATCTCCTTATCATGAACCTTGTTATTATTAGGTGCCATCGAGTCAGTTCCAACTCATAGCAACCCCATATACGACAGAATGAAACACTGCCTGGTCCTGTGCTGTACTCACAATCATGGTTACGCTTGTGCCCATTGTTGCAGCCACTGTATAAATCCATCTCATTGAGGGGCTTCCTCTTTTTTGCTGACCCTCTCCTTTACCAAGCATGACGTCCTTCTCCAGGGACTGGTCCCTCCTGATAACATGTCCGAAGTATGTGAGATGAAGTCTTGCCATCCTTGCTTCTAAGGAGCATTCTGGCTGTACTTCTTCCAAGACATGTCTTCATTTTTCTGGCAGTCCATGGTATATTCAGTATTCTTTACCAGCACCGTAATTTAAAGGCATCAGTTCTTCTTCAGTCTTCCTTATTCTTTGTCCAGCTTTTGCATGCGAGACTATTGAAAATATCATGGCTTGGGTCAGGTGTAGTTTAGTCTTCAAAGTGACATCTTTGCTTTTTAACACTTTAAAGTGGTCTTTTGCAGCAGACTTGCCCAGTGCAGTACATTGTTTGATCTCTTGACTGCTGTTTCCCATGGGCCTTGATTGTGGATCCAAGTAAAATGAAATCCTTGACAGCTTCAATATTTTCTCCATTTATCGTGATGTTGCTTATTGGGACAGTTGTGTGGGGTTTTTGTTTTCTTTATGTTGAGCTGTAATCCATACTGAAGGCTGTAGTCTTTAATCTTCATCAGTAAATGCTTCAAATCCTCTTCACTTTCTGCAAGCAAGGTTGTGTCATCTGCATATTGCAGGTTGTTAATGAGTTTTCCTCCAGTCCTGATGCCGTGTTCTTCATATAGTCCAGCTTCTCAGATTATTTGCTCAGTATACAGATTGAATAAGTATGGTGAAAGGATACAAATCCTGATGCACACCTTTCCTGATTTTAAACCATGCAGTATCCCCTTGTTCTGTTTGAACGGCTGCCTCTTGGTCTTTATTCAGGTTCCTCATGAGCACAATTAAATGTTCTGGAATTCCCATTCTTCACAATGTTATCCATAATCTGTTACGATCCACACAGTCGAATGCCTTTGAATAGTCAATAAAACACAGATAAATGTCTTTCTGGTATTCTCTGCTTTCAGCCAAGATCCATCTGACATCAGAAGTGACATCCCTTGTTCCACATCCTCTTCTGAATCCAGCTTGAATTTCTGGCAGTTCCCTGTCACTGTGCTGCTGCAACTGATTTTTGAATGATATTCAGCAAAATTTTACTTGCGTGTGATACTAATGATACTGTTTGATAGTTTCTGCATTCTGTTGGATCACTTTTCTTTGGAACGGGCACAAATGTGGATCTCTTCCAGTCGGTTGGCCAGGTAGCTGTCTTCTGAGTTTCTTGGCATATATGAATGTGTGCCTCCAGCACTGCATTCATTTGTTGAAACATCTCAATTGGTATTCCGTCAATTCCTGAAGCCTTGTTTTTCACCAGTGCCTTCAGTGTAGCTGGGAGTTTTTCCTTCGGTACCATCGGTTCTTGATCATGCGCTCCCTCCTAAAGTGGTTGAACATAGATCAATTCTTCTTGGTACAGTGACTCTGTATATTCCTGCCCTCTTCTTTTGATGTTTCCTGCGTCATTCAATTTTTTGTCATTTAGAATCCTTCAATATTGCAATTTGAGGCTTGAATTTTTTCTTCAGTTCTTTCAGCTTGAGAAATGCCGTGCTTGTTCTTCCCTTTTGGTTTTCTAATTCTAGGTCTTCGCATATTTCGTTATAATACTTTGTGTCACGAGCTGCCATTTGAAATCTGTTCACCTCTTTTACTTCATTTTTCTTCCATTCACTTTGGCTATTTTACATTCAAGAGCAAGTTTCAGAGTTTCTTCCGACATCCATTTTGGTCTTTTTTTTCTGTCCTGTCTTCTTAATGACCTTTTGTTTTCTTCATGTATGTTGTCCTTGATGTCATCCCACAACTCATCTGGTCTTGAGTCATTAGTGTTCAGTGCATCAAATCTATTCTTGAGATGGTCTCTAAATTTAGGTGGGATATACTCAAGATCATACTTTGGGTCTCATGGACTTGTGTTAATTTTCTTCAGCTTCAACCTGGACTTGCATATGAGCAGTTGAAGATCTTTTCCACACTTGGCCTCTGGCCTTGTTCTGACTAATGCTACTGAGCTTTTTCATCATCTCTGCCTAGAATATCGATCTTCATGCATTCCATTTCATTTTTGACTACTTTCAATTTTCCTAGATTCGTACTCTGTACATTACATGTTCTGATTATTAATGGATGTTTGTAGCTGTTTCTTCTTGTTTTGAGCCATGCCACGTCAGCAAATGAAGGTCCCAAAAACTTTACTCCATCCACGTCATTAAGGTCGTCTCTGCTTTGAAGAGGCAGCTCTTCCCCCAGTAGTATTTTAAGTGCCTTCCAACTGGAGAGGCTCACCTTCCTACACTATATCAGACAGTGTCCTTTTGCTGTTCATAAGATTTTCACTGGCAAATTTTTTCAGAACTAGGCTGCCAGGTCCTTCTCCCTAATCTGTCTTAGTCTGGAAGCTCTGCTGAGAGCTGTCCACCATGGGTGACCCTGCTGGTATTTGAAATACCTGTAGCATAGCTTCCAGCATCACAGCAACATGCAAGCCACCACAGTACAACAAACAGATGAGTGGTGTGTGTGTGTGTTTATATATATATATGTGTACGTATTTTTTAAATGTGTTTTTTTTTTTTTTTTGTAAGCATGCCCTTTTTAGAAATTTGAGTAGGAGTATTATATGTTTGCTTTTAATGTCTGGGTTGTAGTAAAAGTTTGTCAGAAAATGTTTTCCTAAAGAATGGGAAATTAAAATGTACCATTCAGATTTTCCCTCCACAGCTGGCATGGAAAATTTTTTCAGGGTGAAGAAGGGGAGTACAGTGAAGACGAAAACTCCAAAGTGGACCTGAAATCAGAAGCCAATGATGCTGCTAATTCTTCAACGAAAGAGGAGAAAGGAGAAGAAAAACCTGATGGCAAAGGCACTGTCACTGGAGAGAGGCAAAGTGGGGATGGACAGGTCAGTACCCACTGAAGTCCTTTGCTTTATAGCCAGAATAGGGCTCTCAACCTTGGATGGAGTTAGGAGCCCTTTCTCTCTTCTGCAGGAGAGCACAGAGCCTGTGGAGAACAAAGTGGGTAAGAAGGGCCCTAAGCATTTGGATGATGATGAGGATCGGAAGAATCCAGCATACATTCCTCGGAAAGGGCTTTTCTTTGAGCATGATCTTCGAGGGCAAACACAGGAGGAGGAAGTCAGGTAACAGCCACTTGCTACTGCTGCTAATATCTAGCAGATATTTACTACTTGGTGTATGCCAGGCATTATGCTAAGTGTTTACCTCTATTACCTCATTTACTACTCAGAACAACATTTTGACGTCAGTATTATGATTATCTCTTCTACAGATGAGGAAAGTGAAGCTTAGATTATTTGGTAACTTTTGGTAGAGGAGCTGGGATCCATGTCCCAGCTGTATGTGTCCAGAACCTGGGCTCTCATAATCATCACACTTCACCTGCTTGCCTTAATCTGAAGCTCACGGCCTCTGAGATATGAAATACTTGCATAGGCTATCTTATAGGAGATGGCAAATATTTCTGTTGCTGTTGCATCTGAGCCTAGCAGGCCTGGAGGTGTTAGGATTCACTCTTGCTTTTGGGAGACTGATTTTGTATAATCTGACTGAGAAGATGGGGAGACTACACAAGGTTCTCATGTCTCACTCCCTGGCCCTGTTTGGTTCATGAATATCTCTACTTGGCACCTTCTGCCAACTTTTTGTCCTTGGTTTTGTCCAGACCCAAGGGACGTCAGCGAAAGCTATGGAAGGATGAGGGTCGCTGGGAACATGACAAGTTCCGGGAGGATGAACAGGCTCCAAAGTCCCGACAGGAGCTCATTGCTCTTTACGGCTATGACATTCGCTCAGCTCACAATCCTGATGACATCAAACCTCGGAGAATTCGGAAACCCAGGTAAAGAAATTTTGGAGCCTAGATTATTGATGTTTTTGGAAAGAACTCCCCTGCTTTTCTCACTCCATTCCAGCCAATAATTGAATGGCTAAGGGATATGGGAGGTCTCCCTAATCCTCAGCTTATATCTCTAGCGTTCCCTTTTGTTATTTTATTCTTAAGACTTTCTTATCCCCCTTTTTTAGGTTTGGGAGTCCTCCACAAAGAGATCCAAACTGGATTGGTGAGCGGCCAAACAAGTCCCATCGCCACCAGGGTCCTGGGGGCACCCTACCACCAAGGACGTTTATTAACAGGAATGCTGCCGGTACTGGCCGTATGTCGACACCCAGGAATTACTCTCGATCTGGGGGCTTCAAGGAAGGTCGTGCTGGTTTTAGGCCTGTGGAGGCTGGTGGGCCACATGGTGGCCGGTCTGGTGAGACTATTAAGCATGAGACTAATTACCGATCACGGCGGCTAGAACAGACTCTTGTGAGGGATCCATCCCCAGAAGCAGATGCTCAAGTGCATGGCAGTCCTGAGAAGGAAGAAGCAGCTTCAGAGACACCAGCTCCTGCTCCTGACACTGCACCACCGGCCCCTGACAGACCCATTGAGAAGAAATCCTATTCCCGGGCAAGAAGAACCAGAACCAAAGCTGGAGATGCAGTCAAGATTGCAGAAGAGTTGCCCCCTCCACCAGAGGGGCTGACCCCAGCACCTCCAATGCCAGAAACTACTCCTCCTCCACCTGCTAAGACTGGAAACTGGGAGGCTCCAGTGGATTCTACTACAGGTGGACTTGAGCAAGACATGGCACAACTAAATATCACAGAACAGAATTGGACTCCGGGGCAGCCTTCATTCCTGCAGCCTCGGGAACTTCGAGGTAGGTGGCCAGCTTTTTTCCCTTTGTTTTATCAGGTTTAGGGGCATGGGACTTGTTTCTCTCTGGGATAGGGTGTCTGACAAACATGTACCTTTTCATTAACTGTGAGAAAGAGTTGTATGCATACGTATATTCATTCAAAGTCCTCAGAGCAGTTTTTCACTTGTTACCCAAGACTGTCCCACTACTACTACTGTTAACTGATTGATCATCAATATTGAGCTCCTGAGTACAGAATCTTTTTATCATTCTGTAGTAAAAATGGAAGGTGGCAATGTTCTTATTAGTTGAGCTAAAGGTTAAATGTTTGAGGGCAAAAACGTACTCAGTTGAATTTGGATCAAGATCTTTTCTGATCTTTTTGAAAGGAAGACCTCTCTAATTTTCTTACTCTTCTAGAGCAGGGTTGCCTGATAGAACTTTATGGAATGATGGAAGTGTTCAGATGACTTTTGAACACTTGAAATGTTCAGTGACTGAGGAACTGAACTTTTAATTTTAACTGAAATCCACATATATCTTGTGGCTATCACATTGGACCGCATAGCTGTAGAGATTAGGTTCTCTTAAAGACTTAAAGACTGGGAGTTTAAGCATCCTTCTCTGTGGGAGTGATTTTTGAACTCCAAAATCCATTGCAGCCAAAACTTGCCTTGGAGTTGATCTGTAGATGATGGAGTACACCTCTTATTGATATACCACAGGAAGACAGTCTCTAGAACATTCCTTTTTATCCTAAATCATTTTTAGTCAGATGGGAATCTCTCCCCAAACTTCCCAGCCCAAACCTCTGTGAGCAGGATGTAATCAGGTAGATATACAGATCCATCACTCCCCTGCCCAGTTGTTCCTCAGAAACCCTGGGGCTGAGAGTTTTTCACAGTGTTTGATATTATAATGTGCCAGTTACAACCTCCCAGGGATTCTATGCAGGGATATATTTGGTGGGAGAAATTTGGACATGGGTTTTCTCATTGAAGTCATTTTCTTTTCCAGTGTGACTGTTTAAAGACTTTATTGCTGTATTAAGGTGATGGGTTGTGGGGGCACATTTCCAAATATTGGTGTTGACAGTAAGCAGATGTAGTTTAAAAGGAATTTGGGTAGTTTAAAAGGAGAAAGCCATTTCTCATATTGGATTCTCCAGCCTGTCATTTTGTTGATGGCTTCTTTGAGTCGCACTCATGTCTGTTTCCTCTTCAGCAGTGACTTTTTTTGTGTATTACAGGTATGCCCAACCACATCCACATGGGCGCAGGACCACCACCTCAGTTTAACCGGATGGAAGAAATGGTACAGAAGGGAAAGGGGGAGACAGGGAAGGGGCTGCATGTTACTGGATACTCACTCTTTAAGCCAAGATAAGATCTTGAATTCAGTTTTCCCATTGTTTACCCATCTTTTAATTTGGATCTCAGAAATGTAGGGTAGAGGGTTTAGGTTCAAGTTAACAAATCTTGTTTTTGTTAATTTTTCAATTCACTTTACAAATACTTATTAAAAACCTTCCATGTACCAAGTTAAGTGTTCAGCAGCACCTAAAGGAAGGTAGAACTTGATGTGAAGTTTTCTTACTCAGGTCTTTATTATTACCTCAGGGTGTCCAAGGTGGTCGAGCCAAACGCTATTCATCCCAGCGGCAAAGACCTGTGCCAGAGCCCCCTGCCCCCCCTGTGCATATCAGTATCATGGAGGGGCATTACTATGATCCACGTAAGTGTGTTGTTGTTGGAGTACCTTTCTTAGCAAGGGAAAGTGAACTAAGAGACCATCCTCCAGCCTCCTTAATTTCCCTTCTGACTTTTCACAGTGGTTATCAAACATTGTCTGGTTACTGTTTTCTTCACATGAAAAATTTAAAGGGTTTGGGGGACCCTTTTAAAGGAGACTTGTCTGTGTGATTTGAAGAGTGAGGGTTTCTGAAAATCCCAATGTGGTGTCTTACAGTGCAGTTCCAGGGACCAATCTATACCCATGGTGACAGCTCTGCTTCACTGCCTCCTCAGGGCATGATTGTGCAGCCAGAAATGCACCTTCCCCACCCAGGTAAGCTCTGCCCCCCTGCTTGCGTGCTTCCAGGATGTGAGGATGTGTGTTGGGGGCTTCATAAACCCTATCCTCCTGAGCTCTGTGCTGCTTGCCTTTGAGGCTGACTGCCCTGGCTGCTTGGGCAACAGAAACTCCTCTTGGGTCCATCCTCAGGAGTTCCATCCTGAGCCTGTTTGTGCTGAGCAGTTCAGCCAGGCCATCCCATGGAAATAGTGTTATCATCTTCTGTTTCAAATTTTGTGTTCCTCCCCTTGTCCAGGTTTACATCCTCACCAGACACCGGCACCTCTGCCCAATCCAGCCCTCTATCCCCCACCAGTGTCCATGTCTCCAGGACAGCCACCACCGCAGCAGTTACTTGCTCCTACTTACTTTTCTGCTCCAGGCGTCATGAACTTTGGTAATCCCAGTTACCCTTATGCTCCAGGGGCACTGCCTCCCCCGCCACCTCCTCATCTGTATCCTAATACACAGGTGAGATGGCTAATGAGCAGATCTTTCTAGGTACATATTCCTGAAATCATACAGGAACATAGAGTATAGGGAGAATGCTAAAGGAATTTGTAAGAACGTTTCAGTGCCATTGACTTGCATGTGGCACCAGGACGCCTCTTGGTGGTCAGGAGCTGGAAATGCAGCTTATGTAATGCTCATCATCTGTTTGTTCACTTCCCGTTCAAGTGTTTTGTCCATCAGTTTATTCAGCTGCGTAAGGAAACTGTATTCTACTCCTTGCCAGCCCTACCTCTGTCCTGATTAACTCCCGACAGGTTAACACCTATCATCTGGCATGTCACCATCGAGCTCAGCCTCTTCCATTTGTCAGATCATGGTAGGAGTTTGGGCAGTACTTAGAAGATGTAGGAATTGGAATGAAATATTAAGGCACCAGTGAATAGTCACTTTATTTTAAAAGGGGGCAGCTTAGAGATTTTAAAATTAAAAATTCCCCAATACTGTTCTTTTTTTTAATTGAACTTTAGATGAACGTTTACAGAACAAACAAACTTCTCATTGAACAGTACATATATTGTTTTATAGCATTGGTTAACAATGTTTTACAGCATTGGTTAACAACCCCATGACATGTCACTACTCTCTCTTCTTGACCTTGGGTTCTCTATTACCAGCTTTCCTCTCTCCTCCTGCCTTGTAGTCCTTGCCCCTGGGCTGGTGTGCCCCTTTAGTCTCATTTTGTCCTATGGGTCTGTCTAATTTTGAGCTAAAAGGTGAACCTCCGTAGTGACTTCATTACTGGGCTAAAAGGGTATCCAGGGACCATACTCTCAGGGTTTCTCCAGTCTCTGTCAGGCCAGTAAGTCTAGTATTTTTTTGTGAGTTAGAATTTTGTTCTTCATTTTTCCCTTCCTCTGTCTGGGACCCTCTATTCTGATTCTGATCCCTGTTAGAGCAGTTAGTGGTGGTAGCCAGGCACCGTGTAGTTGTTCTGGACTCAGTCTGGTGGAGGCCGTGGTAGTTGTGGTCTATTAGTTCTTTGGACTAATCTTTCTCTTGTCTCTTTAGTTTTCTTCATTCTCCCTTGCTCCTGAAGGGGTGAGACCTGTGGGATATCTTAGATGGCCACTCACAGGCTTTTAAGACTCCAGACACTACTCACCAAAGTAGAATGTAGAACATTTTCTTTATGAACTATGTTATGTCAGTTGAGCCAGAAGTAACCTGAGACCATGGTCCCCACAGCCCTCAGCCCAGTAATTCAGTCCCTAAGGGAGTTTGGATTTGTCCATGGAGCTTCCATGACCTTACCCTGAACAGGTTGTGCTGGCTTCCCCAGTCCAGTACTATTTTTTTTTGTGACTAAATAATGTTTCCTGTTCATCATAGTTTGGACAAATTAATTCCTCACATTTTCTTCTGGCTTGCGGGATGCCAGGCCCCATCACAGGTATATGGAGGCGTGACCTACTATAACCCCGCCCAGCAGCAGGTGCAGCCAAAGCCCTCCCCACCTCGGAGGACTCCCCAACCAGTCACCATCAAGCCGCCACCACCTGAGGTATGAGAGCCCCTTCCCATACCTAAGGCACATCCTACATCGGTGGGCTTTCCTTTTCCCAGAGGATTTCTTTCCTCTTCTGGGCGTGTCTCTGTGGAAAACAGCCTTTTGTGTATGACCTGATAATATATTCCAATTTTGTTATTTCAGGTTGTAAGCAGGGGTTCCAGTTAATTTGAGTTTGTGAATATTTTAAATCTAACATCATATAAAAGTAAGTATACAAGTTACTATGAGTCTTATAACATTAAAACTAATACTCATACTTAATTTGCTTAACAAATGAGTAGAATCACCTAATTTATGATTCAAGTTATAATCATGGGATAGCTCAGGGGAGGCTTAAAGGAGTCCCACAATTTGCCAGTTTCTTTTCTTTTGTTTATGCATTGGGCAGGGTTGAAGTAGAAACCATTGTTAACTTGGCAGAATTGTATTTGGGAAACTTCAAGGAAAAAATACAGGAAGTAGTCTAACTTGATCAAGGATAGGGGATGTCTGAATTTGAGGTGTTAAAGCAGAGCCGATTCTGAAGATCATAGAGGAGAAGCTTCTCTGGATTTTTTTTTTTTTTTTTTAAGGACATTGCTTTAAGACAAATTCTCTAGAAATGTGACTTTCTGAAACCAGCTTGTAAATGCCAAAAGGTCCACTAACACTTTGGTGGTTCGTCCTTTTTCCTCACCCCCGTCAGAACTACAGAGGTGAGAACTCAGGAGAGAAGAGAAATACAGCTGGCTGTCTACAACCAAGAGGATTTCAAAGTTACAGGGTGGCTCACATCAGCGAGCAGCTAAAGGAGGAGGACCCCTGCCTTACTCTGATGCCAGGCTCTATTGGAAAAAGGGAGAAGCAAGAAGACTCCCTCCCACCTCTACTCTTTACATGGGTTGGCTGAGCTTAGGGGAGGAGAGATCCAGACAGCTCAGGCTTCTGAGTCTAGATCTTGAAGCCCACATCTTTTGCTCTTCTTCACTTTCTCCCAGGAAATTCAAGTGTTCTCCACTCCCAGGGAAGCTCCTTTCTGTTTTGTTTTGTAAGAATGTTCATTTTTAAAACCTAGCTTGCTATTCTTATTTTAGTTTTTTCTGTTCTTTCTGTCTTTAAGTTAAACAGGTTTATTCTGCTGGTTTGCTGGCTCCTCTGGGTTTCCTTTTGGCTCTTCTCTGCATCTCAGATAATTGAGACTGTGCTAGGCAGCCTTTCCCCACCAGGTCTGCAAAGATCTGGCCTTTCAGTTTTGGTTGGCCTTTATTATTCTCTATACTTGGATTCTCTTAAATGCTCTAACCCTATGGAAGCGTAGCTGTCTGCACAGAGTGTCACATTGTGGAGAAAACAGAGTGAATGGGTAGGAGCCCTCCTTTCTGAGTTTTCATCAATTCCTGTGCTCTGGTAGTCTTCAGGCCTCTACTGAGGACACAGTCTCTACTGTGGAGAGAGATGGTAAACCAGGTGCTTTTGTGAGAAAGGGAGGATGGAGTGAAGAGCCTTTTGCATCTTAGGGGTTTGTATTCACACAGTTTCAGGGCTCAGTCTTTGAGGTTAAGTGGAAATAGAGGGCCCTGCTTCTCCTCTTTCCATTCCTCCTCCTACTACTACTTTTCAGTTGCTGCGGACCAATGCATCTCTCTAGAGGCAAGTATTATCCAGCAAGCAATTGGCCTTCTGCTTTGCAATTGCTCTTCTCCACGTCTTTCCCGCTACAGGTGTTTTAGATGATAATACCTTATTTCCCCTCAGATTGTACTCCTGTCTTTGCAAACAGAAATAGGTACCACACTTGGGCGTAAGGCCTCAGGAAGCCAGTCACTCTCTGGGCAAGGACTTTCCCCTTTCCTTCTCGATCTGTGGCACTAAACCACTCCCCTGCTGCCTCTGCAGAAGAGATTCCCACAACTGCAGCACTTATGTCCGCCAGGGGTAATTTGGCTGCTGTACCTGTCCTGCTACAGAACCTGAGGGAGAACGTGGCATCTGTGTCTCTTCCCCAGTAACGTCACTGTTTCTGTTCCTTCTCTTGGGCAGCTAGCCTAACCACTCTGAGTTACAGGTGTGGGGTGTGGAGGGAGAGAGGCACTCGAGCTATAATCCCCAAGGAGGGAAAAAAAGAGATTATTCTGGGGGTAATTGGTGGTCGTGCCTTTTGTAGGCTGTTCCCTTTGCCTTAAACCTGAAGATGTCTCCTCAAGGCTGTGGGCAGCATGCCCAGATTCCCAGACCTTAAGACACTGTGACAGTTGTCTCTGTCAGTCCCCTGTGTTTAGTTGCAAGGATTTCTCCAGTGTATGGGTTTTTTTTTGTTGTTGTTGTTTGGGTTGTTTTGTTGTTGTTGTTACTGTTTTAAAGGATGCACATTTGTGATCAGCGTTGTGACTTGGAAATAATAAAATTTAGACTGTAAACTTGACTCCCTTCTCAGTGTTTTGCATGGGTCTTGATGGGAGGGAAGGATGGGAATTTATTAATCTTCCCTCCCCCTGCCCCAGAGTCACAGTCAGAGCTTGAGCCAACTGGAAGGCCAGAGAGGTGAGGAACCCCTATGAGGCCATAAGTGGGTCTGTACTCCCCACCAGGTATCTTCCCTAGCCACATTGCCAAATAGACACCAGAATGTCTTGGAGTCTCTTAGACTGAAGTGTCAGAGACAGAAAAACTAGTGAGGTGCTACTCACAAGAACTTCTAGCATCCCTTTATGCCTCCCTGTGTGTTTGGCAAGTAAATTTCCCAGGGTAATGCACCACCAAATGTCAACACAACTGTACCAGGTCCCAGGCGAGGGAGAGGCGCAGATAGCCATCTTTCTCCTTGAAAAGTAAAGATGTTTGGCATTGATGTATCAAGGGCCATAGTCTAAGGGAGAGGTTCCTATCAATCTTAGTACTAGAAAAGGGTAGGGGAAATGGAAAAGCCACCAGGTGTGGCTCATGCTGCCATTTATGTAGGCCACTTGGCCCCCATGCACACAGGGCAGTTAGTGCCCAGCTTTGAGTTGACTGTTATCATCCTCCAGGCCCTGGGTAGGGTGGAAGTTTACTCCAGGGGCTATCCCCTGATGTGGGAGAGCAGTTGAATGTAATGTGGAGCTGGCAGCACCTGTTCTTAGGTCCCAGGGATTCTCACACTGAGGGCATAGGCGTCATGTGCCTTTTAAAATGACAAGAGAATTGCCCCACACCCCTGCTACTGTTAGAGCTAGAGGACCATCTCTCTCCTGACCCCATCTCTAATTCCTCTTCTTTAAATCCTGTTAGGCTGCTACTCCTCTCCTTTCCCACAGGGTGATGGGTAACTATGGGCCTACCTCCTGGGGTCATGCAAAGAATTGCAGCCAGCCTTGGGGTTGGGTTACTGGCAGGAGGAATGAAAGTGTAAGAGATGTTTTCCTTTCACCCCTACCTCTTGCTTCCCTAGTCCTGCAGTTAGATCGCATTGCTCTCTGGTTGCCCTGGTAACCAGCTCAGCAAGAAGAAACTGCCCTCCCAGCCTGTCTCCCGGTGGGCAAAAAGAAGGGGAGTGTGAGGGGCAGCGACACATCTGCCTTAGGTAACCCTGCAATTGCCCAATCTAGAAGCCCATGGGCTGGGCTCTCAGTTAAACCTTTTTGCCCCCATCTTCTCACAGTCGTTATTCATACCACCTTCTTCCCCTTTATTTCTTCCATGATTCAGTGCAGATGCCCTGCCAACCCTCCTCCCCCTTAGGGTCAGCACACAGGCCTGCTACCTTGGTACTCAGAATAGCACAGACCTGGAATCCCAAAGTTGTCTCTAGCATCTGCAGCCCGACTGGGTTGAGTTGCCCCTAGGGCAGTGATCCTAAACCCGGACTATTAGAATCACCTGGGGAGCTATTAAAAAATACCGTATGCCTTGGCCCCCACCTCAGATGTGATTTTATTGTTCTGGGGTGTGGCCAGGGCATCAGTATTTTTGAAATGCTGCCATGTGATTCCATTGTGCATCAGGGTGAGGACCATTGCTGCTCTAGGAGGACCAGGACAGGTGCTGGCTTTCTTCCCTGGTTCAAGGTCTTGAACTTAGTCTCTGCCTGATGATCTTGAGTAGTTGGAGGGGTGCTGGAGTCCTGTTCCCCACGTTTCCAGAAGTCTCTGCCCCTTTTGTTTCCCCGCCCTACACCCTTCACACTCCTCCCCAATCCTTCACCCTTCCTAACCAACAATCCCAAATCCTGCCCAGAGAGGAGGTTACCAAGGCAACCGGCTTAATCTGGTAACTGTGGCATGTGCTGGGAGAGGAGCCCTCCCCTCTTCCTATTGGGTTCATGGAACACTGCTTGGGGACCTCCAAGCCATCCAGACAGTTCCCCTTTTGACCTGCGGGTGCCAGGGTGTCCAATAAAGAGAGCCCACAAAGCCTGATACTCAGACCCCTAGTCTAGCTTCTGAGCCAAAACTGTGCTCTCTTCTTTTTACTGTTCCCTCTCTAAATCCACAAACAGATGGGTGTGCAAAGCTCTATTTCTGTGAATGCATCTTCTAGTACACATGGGATCAGATATGCACACACAGTGACATGTGTGAAGTACACACCCTATTCAGTTCTACCACCACTCCCAGTCTTTGGCATTCCTGCCCTCGCCTGGTCGGTGCACAGTAAACAGGGGTGGGGCATTGTTCAGAGAACCTCAACCCATCTGGAATCTGGTGCCACTCCACCACCTTGTAATCATAACCTGGATGTGCTCACACCAAGTGTGTCTATATCCTCCTCCTTCTGGGGGCAGTGTGCCCTTGGGGACAGAATGCTCTTGATAAAGGCATCAGGAATAAGGATCATTTGAAGTGGAAATTGGTACCACTTTTCCTACTCTGTGGCCATGTAAGCGCTGGGCTCTCTGGCACTATGCCTGATGATATTGATTGGCAGTGTTGGTTCTTCCTGCTGCCAGCTGGGCAGAGGTGCCCTTGTGCTCCTGAGACTACTATCTTCTACTATCTCCTCGCCTCACCCTGGTTAGACCTGCCACAACCTGCTGCTCCCTGCCTGGCTCCTACCTGCCTGCCAGTACCTGCCTCTCACGGGTCAGGCCCGCAGCACCTATTGTGCCCTACCAGAGGGCAGATGGGCACCACCCCCAGTGTCAATGCCAATCCACCCGGGAGGACTTCCCAACCCTTCTTGCAGAAGGATGATAAAGGCCATGTATTCCTGTGAGGGTGGCAACATTGCGCACTCTCGGATTTGGGAGTCAGGGGCACCCAATCAGCACCCATAGATCTCACCTGGGTACAGGTAGGTGAGTCAAGGAGTACAGTCCACGGACCTGCTCTGGCTCTTAGAGATGATACTAAGAGTCCCGGTAAGCCCCTCTCCATTGATAAATCAGTACCTCACTTTTGCCCTTCATTTCTGGATGTCCCTCTCCGTCTGCTCCGAACCCAATCCCATTCAGCCCCTGACTGTTCCCTTCACGATCAGCTCCAGCGCCCAAGCTCAGGCCTCTCACAGCTCGGGGGGCGGAACCAGGGAGGCGGGGCGGGGTCTGGGCGGGGCCGGGAGGAGGGGGCGCGGTCTCAGTTCTGCCACCTTCCCCAGACCAGGAGCGCAGCCGCCGCCGCCGCGTCCGCGCAGCCCTGCGCTCCGCCCGCTGCCTCTGCCGCCGCAGCCTGGCCCAGAAGAGCAGAGCCGGGGGCATTGGCCCCGCAGCCTGCCCACCTTTCGGGCCGCGTCCTGGCTGCAGCTGGCATGGGGGGCTACTGAGAGCCGGCACTCCTCCCCTCTGGCACCTCCCCCGGCCACTGGCCGCTGGACTCCGGCCACCGAGCCTCGGGCACCTCTGGCCCCCAGTCCGGCGTTTGGCACGGCCCTCCGCTCTGCCCCTCCGGCTTTGAGCATCGTGTCCCCGCCCCCCCCGCCCGCGCCTGGGACACCTGGGTCCCCCGGCGGCCCCGAGGAGGGGGGCGGGGGGGGCATGAAGCCGCTGGAGAAATTTTTGAAGAAGCAGACGTCGCAGCTGGCGGGGCGAACGGTGGCGGGAGGTCCCGGCGGGGGTCCAGGGAGCTACGGTGGACCTGGAGGGGGTGGGGGACCAGGCGGGGGTGGCTGTCCAGCCGGGGGACTGCGGCCGCTGCAGCGGCGTCAGAGCGTGTCTCGGCTGCTGCTACCAGCTTTCCTCCGGGAGCCCCCCGCCGAGCCGGGGCTGGAGCCGCCCCCTGAGGAGGAAGGGGGTGAGCCGGCGGGGGTCGCTGAGGAGCCAGCCAGCGGGGGGCCCTGCTGGCTGCAACTGGAGGAGGTGCCTGGGCCCGGACCACTCGGGGGAGGGGGACCCCTGCGCTCCCCTTCCTCATACTCCTCAGACGAGCTGTCCCCCGGAGAGTCCCTGACTTCGCCCCCCTGGGCCCCCCTGGGCGCGCCCGAGAGACCAGAGCATCTTCTGATCCGGGTTCTGGAGCGGCTGACCGGAGGGGCCACCAGGGACAGCGCCGCCTCAGGTAAGGAGTCAGCTGGCTCATCTATCCCCGAGTGGTGGAACTGCAGCCTTGTTCCTCTTCCTTGCCCTTGGGTGGTGTGGGTGGCCATATGCTGGAGCCTCAGTCCGTGTTTGAGTGGTTAGTGAAGGGGGTAGGCACAGGCTCTCCCTTCAGAAGAGAAGGGTAGTGCCCACCTCCCTCCCTGTAGCAGCCTCACCCTTGGCTGAAGAAGAAGCTGAACTTCTTTCTCTCTCCTTAAGCCACCCTTCCTTCCCACTGGACATTTTATCCACAGACCTCCGTGGGTTCCTGATGTTGCCTACTCCCTCCTGTGGCTCCAAATTAGGGCCTGACACACTAAGATGGAAGCTCCCCAGAGCAGCCCATGCCACCCTCCATAGGTGCCCAAAGCCTTGGAAGACCTCACAGCGGTCCCTGATTCTGTCTAGAAGCCCCAGAGCACAGGGCTGGCCCCACTCCATGGGGCAGTGCCAGAGAGGCACAGGGCCCAAACTACCTTTTGGTCTTGGGCAAAGGGATGAATTGTCCTTAGCAGCTTGAGGAAGCGGGGTGGAGGTCTACCTGTGGGGTGTACTTGGAAGGCATTTGTTGGGGGAGAGGTGGCTGGGCAGGCATCAGGGCACCGCAGCATCTGAGGGGTCTGAGCCTCTCCAGCTTCCACCCTTCCGGTGTCAGGCCTCAGCACACGGCCTCTTTAAAAAATAATAACCACACCCTGAGAGGCTTATTCTCTAAACGATGGTGCTATTTTACCACTCCCCACCAACACCCCTACTAAGGGGCTTTTGAGGAAACTGAGGCCCCAGTTTGCTGGTTAGTGACTGAGGTAGAGAACCTAAGGATTTTTTTTAAAAAAACAAACCCATTGCTGTAGAGTCAATTCCAACTCATGGCAAAAGTATAGGACAGAGTAGAACTGCCCCATAGAGTTTCCAAGGCTGTAATCTTTAAGGAAGCAGACTGCCACATCTTTCTCCTGTGCAGTGGCTGGTGGGTTCGAACCACCAACCTTTTGGTTAGCAGTGGAGCTCTTAACCACTGCACCACCAGGGCTCCTTAAGGGTCTTTAGCTGTAGGCATTTCACTAAACCCAGGAGGTCTGAGGGTTGGGAGCCCCTGGTTGAGGGCCTAATGGTTGGGGGGGTGGGATGTCACACTTAACTCTCAGCCCTCTGCAGGGAGCCCTAGCCTAAGTGTGTGGAATGGGGCTTCACTCCCCTAGATTTTTCCCAAGACCTGGGTCCCTTCCTTTGGCTCAGGCTGCAGTTGCCCTGGGGAGCTGACACCTTTTGGATTTAATTAGAAAGATATCAGACACACACACAGCACTGCTAACCGTAACTTCCCGCCTACACCACACACTCTGTTTCTCTATGATACATTCCCTGGGGAGGCTGTGCTTTGGACCAGAGCCTGCCTTGGAAGAGACAGATGCCAAACTGTAGCCCCCATATCAGCCTCTTCCCTACTCTGCCCTGTGTTCCTCTGCCTCTGCTCTGGCCTAGCTCTGCTGTGAGAGAAAGAGTCTAGGAGGGATATCAGGCATCCTGATTCCTAGTCCCCATTCCTGGAGCTGGGGTTCAGAACTGGGAACTGACTCATTTTAAGAGTACAGCAAGGTAGCTGGGCAGAGAGGAAAAGGGAGAGAAGGTCTTTCCCCTTCCATAGGGACCAGATGCCACAGGCTCTGCTCAGTCTCCCCAGGGGTAAGACTACTGAGTTGATAGTCACCCGTATCATCTGACCCGGCAGTCTGGATCCCTAGAGTAACTGGTGTGGAAGACCCCAAACCACTCCCAGAGTAAACCAGAATCAGCATAACCCACCACTCTGATATTTCCCGATATAACCAATGTTCTCCAGCCATCTTGGTTTCCTCCCAGGGTGTGTGGCCTTACAGAAGATATCCCAAACCTAGCAGAAGCCTCTCGAACTTCTAAGCAGCCCCACCTGACCACTAGGCTCTACCCTGACACTCTGCTTGCTTCAGGCATATTGGGAAAAACTCAAAGAATCAGGAGCCTGGGTTCTTATTCCAGCTCCAGGCAAGTCCCTCCCAGTTCTGGGCCTGGGTTTCTCATTTTTGAAAGAAAATAGTTGCAGTAGATGATCTTGTGTTGGTCTCCTCCTCCACCTTCATGGCTAGAATTGGAGGCCAGGGGATGGTGATCTAAGGACCATCAGAAGCCTTGGTTTTGTCCTGCGGAAGTACCTGGGGCACTGGCCCTAACCTGTCCCAGTGAGGACACCTGGCTCCTTCCCTGTACCCTGCCTGTCTCTGTGTGCCAGGCGGCCCTGCCCCACCCCAGGGCTGGCTGCAAGTCAGGGCGACCTTGGACCTGGCTGACTGGCTGAGCCAGGCCCAGGCCCAGACGGGGGTGGGGGATGGGGAGGTGGGGGATGGAGGGGTGGGGGGGGTTTGTGTGTGTGGAGGGAAAAGCAGGGGTTAGAAGAACCACTCCCCTTCACCCTCCCATTGTTAACCCTTCCATCTCTGGCACCCAGAGAACAAGAGGGTTTCTATTTAAAGCTTGGGATCAAAGAGATGGCAGTTTCTCCCTCTCCCATTTAATGGGCTGGTTCTTACCTGCCTAGCTGGAACCCAAAGCTGTTAAGTAGGGAGTGGGAAGGGGAGGAGGGATCCTGAGACACACCCACACACACACCCACACACACATACTGTTGGCCCTCTGTGTTGGAAGTTCTCTGTCTAGAGACCCTTCTGTGGGCTCCCTCTTATTTTGGGCAAGTCTCAAGCTTGGTGTATTATCTGACCAGCTTCCCACACACTGAACAGAAGCGGGCATGGCCATCAAAGGGCGCCCCCCTTCCCTGCAGCTGCCAACTCCACCTCCACAGTGGCTGCCCAGAGCCTTCAGGTGTGTGTGTGTGTGCGTGTGTGTGTGCGCGCGTGTATGCAGTGCATGATGGGGCAGGTGGCTGCCTAAAGAGAACTTGCCCTCTGAGGCAAGGGAGGGATTGGTGGGTTTCCAGTCTGGCCCTGGAAGTGCCCTCCTGACCTCAGTGGTGCCCATTGATTTCCACAGATATCCTGCTGGATGACATCGTCCTCACCCATTCTCTCTTCCTCCCCACGGAGAAATTTCTGCAGGAGCTACACCAGTAATATCCTTTTGTGGAGCTTGCAAAAGGAGAGGACAGGAGGAAGCCCCCACCAATGTGGTGTCAGAGCCTGGGCACTCCCCTAGAAAACACACCTGGGTGTCAGTTCCAATTTTCTACTCACCAGCTGTGTGATCTTGTACAGAGAATCTAACATTCTGGGGCCTCAGTTTCCTCTTCTGTAAAAGGGGGGTAAATAGCACCTGCCCTGCCTACCTATGGGGCTGTTGTGAAGATCAATATGATAGCAGATGTGGGAGTGCTTTGGAGACTGCAGAGCCCTGTACAAATGAAAGGTGTTATTATTCTATTAAGAGTGCCTCTTTCCCCACTTAGTGATTGCTCTAAACATCTGGTTACCCAGTGAGTTATTACAGGGTCTGCTGTAAACATTAGGTCATGGCTGTTCTTTAGTAGGGTCTGCTAGAGATGAGCCACTGGCTGGGCTATTCATAGGGTCTCATGTAAGCAGAGGGCCTCTCACTGAGTTATTTTAGGACCTAATTGTAAAATTGTCAGGCCACTGAGTAGGGTATATCCTCAGCTGTCTTAGAAACATCAGGCTTACACTGAGATACGGTCAGATTTGGGGTAAGCAGCATTGGCCTTTATCAACCCACTACGAACTCCAGGCCCTGCGCTGGCCAGACATTGGATGGGTCAGGGCAGGGTATCCTCAAGTGAAATTCCAACAGGTGGGATCAGGGTGCAGTTAAGTGGGTGCCATCCCTACCTACCTTTAGCAAAAACCTGGACTGGGAGGGTCATGAAGGTGTCTTGGCTCCAGGGACCTCTGGACCTCCTTTCTCCCTGGCTCCAAACCTAGAGAAAATTTGGGAGCAAATGGCCTCCCATCTCCCTTCCTGGCTTCCTCGTCAGCCTGCCCAGGGCTTTTCCTTAACTTAGGGGTCAGCTTTGTTCAGGCAGGGGGCATGGAGGGCCCCGAGTGGCTGGGCCGGAAGCAGGCCTGTCTAGCCATGCTCCTCCATTTCTTGGACACCTACCAGGGGCTATTGCAGGAGGAAGAGGGGGCTGGCCGCATCATTAAGGTGGGCCTGGGAGAATGGAATGTGGGCCAGCAAGCTATTGGCTCTGGAAGGGGCCCTTTTGATGGAGCCATGCTTATAGTGGGTCTTTTGTGCTTGGAGGCACGGTGGCCCTGCCCAGGCCTTGAAGAGAGTGGTTCTTGGGATGAGACCCCTGCCTTCACCTTCTCTCTCCTGCTGTCCCCAGGATCTGTACCTGCTGATTATGAAGGATGAGTCCCTTTACCAGGATCTCCGAGAGGACACTCTGAGGTTGCACCAGCTTGTGGAGACAGTGGAGCTAAAGTGAGGGGGAGTGGTTGGGGGAGGGGGCAGGAAGTGAAGTCTCTGCTATTGCAGGGGCTGCCTCTGGACTTTTGGCTTTAATATGGTTTTATTTCAGCCCCTTTCTCTTACTAGAGGGTAGCACAGGCACTGTCTCCAGTCATTCTTCTGTCCATCTGCCCATCTGTTTGTCAATCCAGTGGTGGTAAATGTTTAACAACCTGCACTTCAGGAAAAAGAGCCCTGATTTGTAGCTTTTTTGCCAATTCCCATGGTGTAAATTCTTTTATCATGCCTGATTTCAAGCTACCAACATGATATCGCTGAATGTGGAATTAGGAAGAGATGTGCAATAGCAAGCCATTTTATAGTATTTCTACCATACAAATAACCTCAAGAACATAGATGGTAGTAAAATAATGAGAAAACTAATTACCTTTGTAGTAATTTATTTAACTGTAATTTATATATACAGTGAAACCTATGACAGCCAGAACTTGACAAGACTGCCTTGTGTTTCTGGGTCTCGTAAGTTTTCCGCCTTTGACAGGATGAAGTCTTACCACTTCCCTATTGCTCGTTTTAGTAGAAAATATTTGAGTTTTCCTTCTCTGACAGGTTTCCACCTTACACGGGTTCTGACTTTTGCAGGTTATACTGTATATAAATATATATAAAGTAACTATCTATATGTATATATATCTATATGTCCATGTATGTATGTATATATAGATACATAGAGAGTCCTGGGTGGTACAGTTAAGCACTCAACTTCTAGTCGAAAGGTTGGTAGTTCAAACCCACCCAGAGGCACCTCTGAAGATAGGCATAGCAATCTGCTTCTGAAAGGTTATAGCCTTGAAAATCCTACGGAGCAGTTCTATTCTGCACACATGGGGTCGCCATGAGTCAGAATTGACTTGATAGCAACTAACAACAACTATATGCATATGTGTGTAGATAATAATACTATATATGTATAGTATTTTTAAATTAAGGAGCCTGAGTGGCACAATGGTTAAGTGCTCAGCTGCTAACCAAAAGGTTGGTGGTTCGAACACACCAGCCATTCTGCAGGAGAAAAGACATGATGATCTGCTCCCATAAAGATTTCAGCCTAGAAAACCCTGTGGGGCAGCTCTATAGGGTCACTATGAGTTGGAATAGACTCAGCACCCAATAACAACATTTTTAAATTATTGTGTTTAATAACCAATTGGCAAAATTCCCAAAAATTTAACAATGAGCTCTCATGAGCCAGTGTGAGCCAGCATCAGAACACCGCAGTGTCCATCCATCCATCCATCCCTCTAGCCCTTTCAGTTTTTCTTCTCTCCATCCCCACAGCCACAACCCTCCTTTAGGCCTCCTTATCTCTCGCCACAGCCTCCTATCCAAGGCTTCAGCTTGTGGTCCTATGTCCTCCTCTCTCTTCTCAACACTGACACCAGAGAGATCTTTCAAACTTACAAAATGACAAGATCACACTCCTGTTCCAAAAACATCCATGGCTCCTCCTACAAGAAAAAGTTGCAATGTCCTAGCACAGCATTCAACTCCCTTCCCCTTCTGCTGATCCTCCCCACCTCATCTCCCACATGTCCCTCCAACCATTACAGTCCTTTTACCCCTATCATTCTCTGAACTGTTGTGCTTTCCCAACTTCCTGCTGTCCTTTGATATTGTCCACCCGAGAATGCCCTCCTCCTACCTTCTTCTCTTCCTATTGTCTTTCAAGGCTCAGGTCAAATGCCATCTTCCCAGTGAAAGCTTCCCAGTCCTTCTCTTTGGAACAGCTTTCTCTTTCCCCCTTGCCAACATAGCTTTCCTTGTACCTTTGTTACATCACCTAACACATCCTGCCTGGTGTTAGAAGTAGCTGGATGCACGTCTGTCTCCCTCCCAGACTGTGAATTTCTTTTTGACAAAATTCAGCAAATATCTATTGACCTACTACCATGTGCCAAGCAGTATGCTAGGCCCTGGGGGATTAAAAAAATTCAGTAAGAATCCCAGCCCTCAAGAGCTCTCAGTCGTATAGAAGAGATAAAGCATGAATATAAACAAATATTTTCCCAACGTTCTACGGGAGTTCAGGTAAGAAAGGGACCTTCCCTGGCAGGTGGGGTAGATCAGAGAAGAATTCATGGAAGAGGTGGCATTTGATTTGGGTCACTTGAATAGTTATCCCATGCTGGTCATTGTCCTCTCTTCTGACCCCCTTAACTACTTTCTGAACTTGATGCTAGTGTATCTCTGACCCTATTCTAATGTCTCTGCTGGATGCTGCCTGCCTGGCACTCCATGTACCTGGCAGGGCTTGCTGATGCCCAGCTGTTTCCATGCCAGGATCCCAGAGGAGAGTCAGCCACCCAGTAAGCAGGTGAAGCCACTCTTCCGCCACTTCCGCCGAATAGACTCCTGTCTGCAGACCCGAGTGGCCTTTCGGGGCTCCGATGAGAGTAAGTGTGGACATTTAATGGGAAAGGGTTCCTGAGTGGCTCGGGGGCCTCTGTGGGGCATCTGGGTCTTGGGCACCCTCAGTAGAGTCTGCCTGTATAGTAGAACCAGCCCTTCACACAGCACCTTCTTCAGAGGCCAAACAATTTAGGGTTGGAGGTGGGTTCAGGTGGGGAGCAGAGATGTCCTGGAGGGGACTGTGACAGTGCTGTCACCCTGCCCTCTGATGAATAGCCACCTTCCTGTGTCTGTCCAGTCTTCTGCCGTGTCTACATGCCTGACCACTCCTACGTGACCATACGCAGCCGCCTCTCAGCATCTGTGCAGGACATTCTGGGCTCTGTGACTGAGAAACTGCAGTACTCAGAGGAGCCTGCAGGGCGGGAGGATTCCCTCATCCTGGTAGCTGTGGCCTCTTCCGGAGGTGAGAGTCAGGAAGAGCTGGGCAGGGGCCAGGAGAGGAGACACAAACCCAGTGCTGTGGGGCAAGGGTGAAGACTCAATTCTAGGCTCTTACTACTCTAAGTGTGGTCCTGGGACCAGCAGCACAGGTATCACCTGGGAGCTTGTTAAAAATGCAGTAGGTCAGACCCCACCTCAGACGTGCTGAGCAGACATGCTGAGTCCTAATCTGCATTTTAACAAGATCCCCAGGTGATTCCTGCGCACATTAAAGTTTGAGAAGCACAGATTCAGGACACCTGGGTTCTGATCTGGGCGCTGCCTCTCACTCACCTTGGGATCATGTTCTGGCCCTTTAACCTCCCTAGGCATCTAAGGATGCTACATTTTTGAGGCTAAGACACAGGGTAGACCTCTAATCTCTAGGGTGGTGGCTATGGGAAGGCAGAAAGCCTGCAGTGTAGCCTCAGCCTTATTTTTGCATCCCTAAGATGAAAGAAAAAGTTCCTGCCTTTCCAGTGCCACAGGAATGAGAGAAGAGCTGTGAACGAACTTTGGAAGCAAAAGAAATCCTGTTAGCCTAGAATGTGTCTGTCTGGAGTTAGGAGTTTCTGGATGGGGTGGCAACAGTGGCTGGGGGTGTGTGGAGGGGACCAGTACAGGTGGCTGGGGCTGAGGCTAAGCAGCTCATCCTCCTGCAGAGAAGGTCCTCCTGCAGCCGACTGAGGACTGTGTCTTCACCACGCTGGGCATCAACAGTCACTTGTTTGCCTGTACCCGGGACGGCTATGAGGCCCTGGTGAGAACTCCTTCACGAGGCCCGGCTGGGAGCTAGGGCTGAGGGTGGTGGTGAGCAGTCCCTCACTCCGTCAGCCACCCAGAGCCCAGCCCCTGTGCCATTGCCTGCCACCAGGTGCCCCTGCCCGAGGAGATCCAGGTCTCCCCCGGTGACACAGAGATCCACCGAGTGGAGCCTGAGGATGTTGCCAACCACCTTTCTGCCTTCCACTGGGAGCTGTTCCGATGTGTGCATGAGGTGGGGGCTGAGGCTGGCGCTGGGATGGGGGTCCAGGGGGAGAAATGTGCCATTTGGAGGCAGAGTTTGCATTAAAATGTGCCTAGTTCTCCTGATGGCACAATAGTTAAGTGCTCAGCTGCTAACTGAAAAGTTGGTGGTTTGAACCTACCCAGTGGCTTCACAGAAGAAAGACCTGGTGATCTGCTCCTGAAAAATTACAGAAACCCTATGGGGCAGTTCTACTCTGTCTCATGGGGTCACTGTGAGTTGAAAATTGACTTGAGGGCACCTAACAACAAGAATAACAGTACCTGGCTAGAATGCTCGCCAGCAGCCACACGGCCGCATGCCCTTGGGCATCATCTGGTCATACCCTCTCTAAGACTTTGTCTCCTCAGCTGTAAAATGGTAAAGAGAGAAACCCTAGAGCAGAGTGGTTCAAGGCCCAAGCACTGCTCAGCACAGTACCTGACCCATGGTTTATATTGAATAAATATTCACTATTAAAGAAATAAAATAAAGCAACAATAATAATGTCTACCAGATGGTTGTCTTGGGGATAAATCAGCCATAAGGCCTTCAGCGAAGTGCGTGGCACCCAGTCAGCGTTCAATACATAGTAGAGTATCTTATTAATGTCGGATTTTTTCCCCCCATCTCTGTTGCATCCTGTCCTGTCCTTGTTTTTCTATTTTCCACCCTTTCCGCCCCCACCCTCCTGCCTTTCCCTCCTCACCACCTCGCTCTGCTATTTTCCCATCCACACACTCGCCGCCCTGGCGGCCCCTCCGCCACCGTGGGCGCAGCTGGAGTTCGTGGATTACGTGTTCCACGGGGAGCGCGGCCGCCGGGAGACGGCCAACCTGGAGCTGCTTCTGCAGCGCTGCAGCGAGGTCACGCACTGGGTGGCCACCGAGGTGCTGCTCTGCGAGTCCGCGGGCAAGCGCGCGCAGTTGCTCAAGAAGTTCATCAAGATCGCTGCAATGTGAGTGCAGCCGGCTGCGGGAGCAGGAGGGCGCAGGCAGGGTGCCGGGAGCGCTGCCCCTGACCACGCCTTCCGCCCCCACAGCTGCAAGCAGAACCAGGACCTGCTGTCCTTCTACGCGGTGGTCATGGGGCTGGACAACGCCGCAGTCAGCCGCCTGCGGCTCACCTGGGAGGTGATGAGACCCCCTTCCACCTGTGCTGGCCCAGCTGTCCCACGTTGGGGATCTTAGCCTCCTCCTTAAGTCTTGACGTCCTAGACTCACCCCAACACGGCCTCTTGGGACCTGCTGCAAGCCTATAGGGAGCATTTGTGCCAGTTGGAATGAGGCACCCTATTCTGGCAGATACAGCCCCAGGGCAGGCAGCTTGTCTACTGGACCTTGTCTTTGTGCAGATTAGTATAAAGTCTACATTCTGGAGTGGGGGCAGGCAGCCCTTGACCAGCTCGCAGGCTTGGCTACAGCTCTTCAGCTGATTTCAGCCGGCACTCGGTGGGGCTCCCTTGGGTATGACACATGCATAAACAGAGGCTTCACTTCCACTAGAATAATGAAGCCCCCTAGGGTGTTTCAGACTCCCTAGATCTAGCCAAGGGCTGACCCTACTTCCCTACCCACTAGCTTCCCAGCCCCCTACAAGACACTCAAGGCCCTTTCTGCCTCTACCACCTGGGGGGGATTAGTCAGAAGTCCCGGTGAAACCTAAGGAGCTCCTCTCTGATACTCCTTCTCCTTCCTTCAAACTCTACAGAAGCTGCCAGGGAAGTTCAAGAACTTGTACCGTAAATTTGAGAACCTGACGGTGAGTAGGTTTGGCTCTTTTATCTTTCCCTGGACTTACACTTCAGAGACCCTCTGTTGCCATAAACCCTTTTTCTCAAGCTTCCCTTTCAAGGCTTTTAGTACCTGGGACCCCCAACCCTTCCCCACCATGCTGGGAGGGAAAGGATGGGAGGATAGTTGCCCTGTTTTCCCTGGAGTAGGGGGGGAGTAGTCAAGCCCTTCTCCCCGTGCCCCCAGCTAGACACCCATGTGTACCCCTCTCTGATGGGGGTGTTTCCAGGGCAGAGGGATGAGGGAAGGGAATGGCTATATCTTTGGGGCACACTAGGTCTAGCTATCCCATTATTCTACTTCTGTGGAATGCTAGGACCCCTGCAGGAACCACAAAAGCTACCGAGAAGTGATCTCCAAAATGAAACCCCCTGTGATTCCCTTCGTACCTCTAATCCTCAAAGGTGAGGAGTCCTCCTTCCCAAATTGTGACTGTGTTCCCTCGCGAATTGTGACTCTACTATGCACGTTCTTCTTAATCCCATGCCTCAAACCCTGACTCATTTCCTAACCCCCAGTTCTGAATGTGAATCCCTTCTCCAACACAGCCCTGGGTGCCCACCTGGAGAGGAGCCCCCCAGATTGAGTGGGTTCTGAGGGAACTGTCCTCAGGTGCAGTGGCCCTTTCGACCTCTACTCTTATCTTTTCCTTACCTTTGATTCTCTCCCTGTCCTCTAGACCTGACATTCCTGCACGAGGGCAGTAAGACCCTTGTTGATGGTTTGGTGAACATTGAGAAGCTGGTGAGTGGTACTGCCAGTCCCTAGTCCCATGAGTGGGGATCTGGCTTCCTCCCCCTCTTTCCTGGCACCTCCCTAAAGACAACAGCCTTCCTCCATGGTGCCCAGCTTGCCTAATAGACTCCTGACTGTCTGTGTCCCTGGTGGCATCACTGTGGCAACCCACTCACTGGTGGCAAAGCTGACAGGCAGCTCGGGGGCAACTCTACCTCCCCGCACACACCTGGCACCCTGACACACCCCCTCCTTTGGTCCTTCAGAGACTCTCCAGAGTTGGGGACTGGAGGGAGTAAAACCAACAGAGTTGGGGAATGGAGAAGGGGAACTCAGAGGGGGAAGCGTCTGTCTCTGCCCTTTTCAGGGCTCATTCCTTGTCATCTCCCAGCATTCAGTGGCCGAAAAAGTGAGGACAATCCGCAAATACCGGAGCCAGCCCCTTTGTGAGTACCCAGGGTTCTGAGAGCATTGCAGGTAGAGCTCTGACTGAGAGGGAGGGTTCGGGGGAGAAGTTCCTGCTCAAATATTCATGTCCTAAGGCTTGTCAGTTCTCCACTCTCTCCTTGGCTTCCTCAGAGACCCCCTGCCCAACACCTCTCCCAATCCACACCCTTCTCCTCTGCCCGTTGTGTATGTGTGAAGGAAGAAGGAAGGCTGGGAACCTGACCACCTCTCCCTCATTACACACCCAGGCCTGGATGTGGAGGCATCCCCTCATCACCTGCAGACCAAGGCCTACGTGCGCCAGTTCCAGGTCATCGACAACCAGAACCTCCTTTTCGAGCTCTCTTACAAGCTGGAGGCCAATAGTCAGTGAGAAAGGAGGTGCTGGTCAGCCCTACACCAGGTCCATGGGTACCTGGCACTAAGCACTTTGCACACTGTTCCAACCTACATCTGCCATCTTTCCCCTGGAGCAACCTTCCCACCCATGGGAAAGAGTTGGATGGACTTACCCTCAGATGCATAAGCCTGTTCATCCTGCTGAAGTTCTCTCCCGCTTCCCCTTGCTCCTTCAAGCCAAAACCACACCTGGGTTTGGGCCCTCGCCAGGGAAAGGGGGCAGAAATCTCCTTCCTCTGTTCCCTCCCATCGAGGGCTGTTCCAGAGATGGAGTTTCAAACCTCCTCTTCCCAAGCAGGAAAGAGAGCTGCCCACCCTCCTGTCTCGCAGAGTGGAATTGTGGGAGGGATTGGCAGCCTTCCTCTCTACCACTTGTCTACTTCTCTCTGGTCAGGGCTGTGACCCCTGGATGTCCCTCCTTTGAATGTTATACTGCCCTTGTGTCTGTGTGTGTGTGCGTGTGCGTGTGCGCGTGTGCGCGTGCGCGCGCCCTCTTGCCCTCTTGTAAGGAACAAGAGTGCATCTGGTGATTGAGGGAAGGTGTGGTGTGTGCTGTGGGGGTCTTCTGTTTGGTGCTACCCTGTCTACTCTGCCCCTGGGACAGTGCAGGGTGCTTCCCCTCCCCCGCACTCCCTTCTCAGCTCCTTGTGCTGCCCTGCATGCTCAGGCTTGTGGGTGAAGCTGCCCCTGAGGGCAGGGAGCAGCAGCAGGCAGGAGGGGTTACCCATCAGCCCTTGCGAACCCGCCCCCCCGCCCCCCTGCTCCAGCCTTTCTGAAGGTCCCTGGGTGGGCTCTGGTGAGAGGCAAAGATGCTCAGGGAAACACAGGCCTAAGCTGCTTACAGGACCCTCCCTGTCCCTTGCAGTGAGGTAGGGTGCGGCGGTTTCAGGAGTCGGGGTGACTGCTGCCCACACTCCTTTTTTTTGGGTGTCTCACTGCTAAGAAGGGAATTGTCATCTCCCTTCTGGCCCTTGTGTCTGACACCCAACATATCTCTGTCCCTCTCCCTGTCCTAACTCCCTCTTTCTCCTTTCCATCAGAGATGGGGGAGGGTGGGTCTGTATACCTGGGGCAGGCAGCCCCCCAAAGTAGGGAGGGAGCAGCAGAGACTGTAAAGGCGAGACTGGACTCTGTGGCAATGCCTTTACTCCCTCTCTGTCCCACCTCCCTCTGCCATCGCGGGCCTCCAAGGCTGAGGGGCACAGGGGTTCCTGGCAGCTACTGGGGGAGGTTTCCTGGCACAGCCTCACCCTCCTATCTGGCACCACCTCTTTCCCTTTCGTAGAGGCAGCAGCAAAGACAGTTGCTGCTTCTGCTCTGAGGGTGTATATATTTTTTACCAAAAGCTCTGGAATTATAAATTTATTTTTTAAAACTCAGAGGGAAAGAGCCTGTATTATATGTAAACATTGTATCATAGGTTATGTTGTACAGTCCTATCCTCCCTTTTATATAGCGGTCTGTCTTGTTCCTGCTGCAAAAAAAAGTCTATGGACACCCCCCTCCACACACATACAAAAGCACTGTGTCCCACCCCACCATCCCTTACAAACAGGACCATCGCACCTCTCCTGCTCCTGCCTCCTCCCTGCAAATGCTGATGTATCCTCTTCCCCCTGCAGCCCCAAGCTGCCTGCCCTTCCTCCTGACCCCTTAGAGTAATCTTCTCACGCCAGCTCCTATAACCTTCCTAGAACACTGGGACCCACTGGTCCAGTCTTGGATCTGGCCTACCCCGAGCCTTGCTGCCTGCCCTGATGTCTCCTAGGGGCCTCCCGGCCCCCATCCGTGCCCCACAGCTTTAACAGTGTGAACCATGTGTACTGAACAGGCTCGGTTGTCATTGCAGAAACCTCTGGGTGGAGACAAAGTTGATAAAGTCTATGAATCAAGCTGCCTGCTGTTCTCCATTCTGTTCCTTAGACGCTGGGGAAGGGCTGAGGAAGGGAAGAGGGGGCAGCTCCCAGCACTCCAGCCCCTCAGCAGATGACCTTGGGGCCTCAGGGGATTAGAAAATGTGGCTGAGAGGAAGAAGTGCCAACCACATTGAGGCACTTCACAGAGTGCCTCAAACTTGGAAGAGTGAATGTTTTCGTTCTTACATGTTCCAGGTGGCATACATAGGTGATCTCACTTAATTCTGACTCTGTAAGGTAGAAGAGGAGTCCCTGGGTGGTGCAAATGGTTAATGTGATCAGTTGCTCACTGAAAGGTTGGAGGTTCAGGTCCACCCAGTCGTGCCTCAGAAGAAAGCCTTGGTGATCTACTCCCCCAAAACCAGCCATTGAAAACCCTATGGAACACAGCTCTACTTTTACATACATGGAGTCACCATGAGTGAGAACCGACTTGATGGCAACTGGTTAGTTAAGGAAGAAGAGCAGTTCCACAACATAAGGTCCACAGTGTGATCAACCCAGGTATTGCAACCCAGGCCTGTCCACTCCAGACAGTCCACTACCCAGTGAGGAGTTCTCTCTTAACAACCAATATCTGTCAATATACTAAGATATGGGGCCATATAGAACCTACTGATAGGTAGGTCAGATGGCAGGCTACTAGTTCACGGGCTGCATAGGCCAACAAATCCCAAGATCGGCAGGCAATATGGCAGGCCACTGGCTCAAGTCCCAAGAACCCAAGTCAGATGATGACAAGCCAGATGCAGGATCCAGAGCAAGCAAAAGCCAGTGAGCTTTGCCAGAACGTCCATATATGTTGGATGCAGGCCACACCTCCAAGGAAACTCCCCTTACAACTGACTGGCCGATCACATCAGATCACATCATGGAGGTGATTACATTACATCACAAAATGGAGGATAATTACATAACTGCCAAACCACTGAGAATCATGGCCTAGCCAAGCTGACACACAACCTTAACCATCACATGCTGCTATGCCTTTTCTTTTTTTTTTAACATGTTGCTGTAAAAAAAATCAGCATAGCCCACTTACGAAAATACCTCGTAGGGGGAAGGCGCGGTTGGCAAACAAACATAGAAGGCATGCGTTATTTGCATAAAAATACGGTACTCTTACAGCTACACATGAGCCCTTGACCTTCCCCTCATTGGACATCTGTTCCTCCTTCAACCTTCCCCATCTCAGAAAATGACCCTTTCATCCACCCAGTTTTTGAAGGCAAAAAACCTTGATGCTCCTTTCTTTTACCCCTCACTCATGTCAGCAGCAAGTCCTGTCAGCCACAATTCTAGAATATATTCTGAATTGCTTCACTTCTCTATGACTCCTCTATTACCATCCTAGTCCAAACCACCTTCATGCCTTTCCTGGACAACCATTCTAGCCTCTCATCTTGTCTCCAGGCCTCCTTTCTCCAACTCATCCCTAACCCCCACCAGCTGGTTCTCCACACTGCAACCAGAGCGCTCTTTTAAAAACTTAAATCAGACCGTGTATGACTAAAATTAAAAAGATTGGCAATACCAAATGTTAGTGAGGATGTGGAACAACTATAATTTTTTTACAGTGCTGGTGGGAGTAAAAATTGGTACAACCACTTTGGAAAACCCTTTGGCAGTATTGCTAAAACTAAGTATACACCTAACCTGTGACCTAGCATTTCCATTTCTAGGTATATACCCAGGAGAAATCAGTGATTTTGTCCACCAAAAGACATGTACAATCATGATCTAGCAGTTTCATTCAGGATAAAGAAATTGGGGGAAAAAAACAAGTATCCTTCAACAGGTGAATGGACAAATTGTGGTATATTCATATAATGTAAAGAAGCCCTGGTGGCACAATGGTTAAGTGCTCCGCTGATAACTGAATGATCAGTCATTCAAACCCTCCAGTCACTCTGTGGGAGAAAATACCTAGAGATTTGCTCCTGTAAAGATTATAGCCTAGGAAACCCTATGGGGCAGTTTTACTCTATCCTAGAGGGTCGCTGTGATCCTTAAGGTTGTGCATCAACTTGGCTGGGCTATGATTCTCAGTGGTTTGGCAGTTACGATGTAGTTTGGCAGCCGTATGATGATGTGATGACTTCCATGAAGAGAACTGATATAATGTGATCACCTCCATGATGGGATCTGCTGTGAGTAGCCAATCAGTGGAAAGGGAGTTTCCTTGGGGGTGTGGCTTGTATCAAATATAAGTGGACTCTCTGGCAAGGCTCTTGGGCTTTTGCTCGCTCTGGGTCCTGCAGCTGGCTCCTGTTCATCTGACCTCCGGTTCTTGGGACTTGAGCTAGCAGCTTACCTGCGGTCTTGCCGCCGATCTTGGGATTCGTCGATCTTCCCAGCCTGTGAACAAAAGCCCTGCTGCCTGACCTGCCAATCTTGGGTTCACCAGCCCCTGCAGCTACGTGAATCAGAAGGCTCCAGCCTGACCTATGGATTTTGGACGTTCCAGCCTCTGCAACCCTGTGTGCCATTTTCTTGATATAAATCTCTTTATATAGATACTTATATGCTTTACTGGTTTTACTTCTCTAGAGAACCAAGCCTAAGACAGTTGCTATGAGTCACAATCAACTCGACGGCACAAAACAACAATATACAATGGAACACTGCATTGCAATAAAAAAGAACAAACTATTCCTACCTGCAAGAATGAATCTCACAGACATAATATTGAGTGAAAGAAGCCAGACACAAAAGACTACATACTGCACACTTCCATCTAAGTGAAGCTCAAGAACAGTAACAAATAATCTATGGAGATAGAAGTCAAAATAGTAGTTACTCAGTGGGATGGGAGAGAGTATTTACTGGCGAGGAGTATGAAGGAGCTCTTTGGGATGATAGAAATGCTCTATCTCTTGATCTGGGCTGTGATTACACAAGGGTGACAGTGTGTGTTTGTTCATTGAGTTATTCATGTAAGATTTACGTTTTACTGTAGGTATGTGTCATGGATTGAATTGTGTCCCCCCAAAATATCTGTCAACTTAGCTAGGCCATGATTCCCAATATTGTGTAATTGTCCACCATTTCATCATCTGATGTGATTTTCCTATGTGTTGTAAATCCTGTGTCTTTGGTGTTAATGAGATGGGATTAGTGCTGTTACGTCAATGAGGCAGGACTCAATTG